CCATAACCAGTATTATTGATTTTAAAAATGCCTTGTTTGTTAGTTTTTGATTAACCAATTTCAAGTTGGTGTTACAGTTATAACATTGTGTAAATATTTTTGAAGTGTCTGAGCAAGCGTACATTAATTACTGTATTATATTTCATGTATCAACAACTGTACCTTTGTCACCTATTCCCCCCCCCACTCCCCTCTGTAATATCCTTCGGGGCCTTGAGGGTAAATAAATAAATAAATAAATAAATGCAGTGTTAGTGCGTGACACGATTAAAGCAACATGTGAAACATAGTAAGGCACTGGTAACAATATTTTGATTTTGTTACTCGCCCAGGTCGTCAAACAACACCGCTTGCTTGTTTCCACCCGAACAGAACAAATCGAACAAGTGTGATGTCCCGAGGACGGTCGCGTAATCGTAACAAGTTGGACGTAAAACTAGTCTTCTCACCTTATCGCCTGGGTTCTCTAATCTAAAATAGCCTTCTGACGCCCGCGTCCGCAACTGTCCACGTAAATATCATTCACGGGATAGCCGCGGTAGGTTGACGTTAACAATCACGATATCTCGGCACTCGTCGTCGAAGACATTCCGCTTGTTTTTTGCGGTGAACAAACGGCGTAATCGTACAGATTTCAACGGCTTTGTGTCAATCACGACATATCTAGATACTCGTCGCCGAAAACGCACCGCTCGGTTTTTCCCAGGCACGATCGAGCACGAGTGGCACAATCCTTTGCGCACTCTTTCATTCATCTCCGACAAGCGTGACGCAGTTTCGCTTTGGCCAGCTCGTACAATCACGGCGACGATGCTCAGTTGACGAAGCGATGTTGTACTGGCACTCTCTCGGCTGTGAAAGAAAAACACAAAACAATTACGTGCCTCGGTTGATTTGTGTGCATCTAACTTCATTGAATGTCTCACGCGTACACGATTTTCCACTGGGCTTTCAGGTAGGTCTACGTAACTTTCGCCACAGAGGCCAAATAAAAAGATATCCGGTGCTTTTTCTTGGCGCCATTTGGTCCAGAAACACACATCGATCTAACTTTTTTCCGGCTTGCGACGTACCTTTTCTAATTTTCCGCCAAGAAAAACTTAAAAGAAGCGATGCTCATTCTTGCTCATTGAAATATACACAAGAAGCTGGTCAACCGGAAGTTTCACCGTTGCTTGTTTATGTTTACCTTGGAATGCCATGTATTCAGCTGCGCAGTGAAACTGCATGCTTCTGCTCTGTAGTTTTGACTGCATTGCCACAAAAAGTCGTCCCCCAGTATGCACCAACTCATGTTTAGAAGCAAACCGGAGCGCCCCTAATGGACACCACCGGCGTTCGCTAAGGGCGCCGGTGGCGTCCGCGCATTCGCGATGGTGTGTGGGCAAGAGGCACCCCGTGTCCGATCAACAAGCCATTGGAATGTTATGTTGTCGGCGTCTGTGTAGGTCACCGTGCTCTTTTTCGCGTTGGAGGTGTTGATTCTATACATCTTGTAGACCGTGAGATGGAGAACGATAAAAAGACGGACGAACACAACAAAACGCTTGAGATTTTGTTGTGTTCGTCCGTTTTTTAGTTTTTTTTATCGTTCCCCATTTCAGGGTCTACAAGATGTCGATGAATTACCAGCTCGCCTGCATTATATCACTGCTTATTGATTCTACGTTTTCTTAGCAATGTCTGACCACTTTAGTGACCTCAGCGAAATTAACAAGCTCGTTACACCCCAAAACCTTTACGCGAATAATGTTACGTAAGGCGATTCATTTCGCATAGACCCCACAGAATGAACGCTAAAGCCTGATTTGCACGATGGGATTCTGTTCGCTATCTTCATTCACGACGTCGCTCGGGCTGCAAAAGAAGCGTGGACGGTAGACGCGATGCTCGACGCCGCTACTGAAAATCGCAAGCAGAATCGGACCATAAATGAATCAGGCATAACAAGTTGGTGATGGCCACCGTTAACAATTATCAGCAACCCTCTGCATCTGCTGTTTACATCAAACACCCTTATTTCAATCAACCTTCAAACTTTTATTCTTTTGAGGCCCACACTTACTTCTTAACGCAATTATCGCGTCAAAGTGTGGTCTACGAGCCGTTGTCGATCGAACGAGCAGACGACAGTTTGAACAAGCAGACGAGTTTGAGAGAGCAGACGACATTTTGAACGATCAGACGGTCGTTTGAACGTAAAGACGCACGTCGTCCGCGCGTGGTCCGGACAACGTAACGGTTTTCCCGCGTTTATGTTGTAACAAAAAAAATACATCTGACGATCATGAACCTCACTGAATTTACCTCAGTGCTTCCCGCACAAGCGATCGTGGTCTCACGACATCTGGTTTTGCCTTTTTGCGGCACCTACCCACGTTCTCGGACGAACCAGGAGGCAGAAAACAAGGGAAAACTATCTCGACACCTTTCCCGGCTCTTTTGGTGCAGCCTCACTCACGATGTTTTGGCGAGGAGGCAAGTTTTAGTCTGTTTTCTTCCAAAACAACATAGCAATGCGCTGTCCGCCTGGCGACTTTCGCCCACATCCCCCTGACCGGAAGTGCTCCTGAACGGCCGCCACCGCGGCGTACGTAAAAGGGTTCAGTTGTTGTATATCATCCCTAACTCGGTTACCCTAAATCCGGAGTCACATCGCTTATACATCATACAAAAGAGCCTGCAAATATCAGTCACCGCGATATCCGTGGTTCTAATTCCGCGTGTCAAGTTTCTCCTTGAACTCGTTGCCATGCGGCATTCGAAGCACGGATCTCGTTGGGACTTGCTTTCGAATCTGTTTGCTAACAGTATTTTGGATGATATATAAGCAGTGTGACCCCGACTTAGCTCGGTCACCCGCAAACCCATCCGCGTTGACCCTGGCAAGTTTCTTGGTCTCCTTTTCACAGAAAAGAAACTATGCATTTGATATTCACCAGCTAAAACCTACTACCTCCATGCAGATTCGGTAGAAGGTAATGCTTTATATGTGCAGACATCGATATTTCCAGCTCGTTTCAAAGCGCATAGATGCATTGTAGATACCCTATATATCCAATTCGGTGGTGTCACGTGGCCTCATTAATGTCACTAAATTTCTGTCACTGGAGCATGAACTCGCTTGGATTCGGGAAAACTCTTGCAGCATTTATCGTGATTCGTGTGTGAGTGAAGCGAATATATATAGCCTTCATTACTACCGACGGATTGACATTCCCGTTTCACCGCTTATCATGGACAGTTTGGTGCATTCACCAGATAAATACTCTTCCCGTGAATTGACAGTAGCTTCTAGTGCGACGGGGAACCATCCCCCGATTCCTCCGCTTCTTCTTTCCACTTAGTTCTTCCGCGTGGAATAGCTTCCAGACTCGCATTATAACGGAGAAGAGAAAGAATAAAATAGAGTGCAGGCGAGCTGGTGTAAGTTGAACATGATTGTAAACCTGAGACTGGGGCAGAAAAGAGAACACAACAGAAGGTAGAAAAAGAGGAGGCAACGTCTCAACCGTTGCCTCCTCTTTCCACTTAGTTCTTCCGCGTGGAATAGCTTGGGAGAAGAACTCGGACAATGAAACAGAAGGTTTCCAAGCCAAGTGTAAAGCAATTTTATGTATTTCTGTAGAGGAGTGAGAATATCCGTGGGGCGTCATTATAAACGGATGGATGGATGGATGGTGATGGCTATACCCTTTGTAACGGGCGGCAGCTTGCGCCAAATAGCCTAACATTTCGTCATCCCTTTTTTTTTAATTTATATGAATTTTGTTATAACAGACCCCCCCTCCTCTCTCTCTCTTTTTTAAAGTGATTCCATTGCTTATTTTTATCTGTATTTTTTTTACCCTTCCCTAGATCTCTTTCACCAATCTTCCAATCTCCTCTTAGTTACTGCAATTTTTTTCCCTATCCATTCGTCCATCCATGTCCGGAAAACCCAGTGCCCCCTCCAAATCCGTAGTCATCCCCCCCAAGAGGGTGGGACGAAGCCCCGTGCACCATAAAATTACATGTTGTATAGTTTCCCCTTCGCGGTGGCATACGTCGCACAGAGTGCCTACTTCCTGGAATTTAGCCCTTTACGTTTTCGTTCTTAGCACCCCCGTTCAAGCTTCATACAGCAAAGAGTTCCCCACTGAATTATCATACAGCTGTTCCTTCTTTATTTCTTGCTTTTGTGCCCTGTATATTGTTAAAGCTGATTTCCCCTGTATTCTCTCTTCCGTCAATTTCCTCTCAGTTTCCTTTACTCCTTTTTCTACTGATATGCTCTGATCGTCAGAAATGGCAATGTTCCCAAAGCATTCCACTTTCCCTATTTTCTTTTTAAGCAGAATTTGTGTTGTTTTTTTTTTTTTGGTACTCATGAGCTGGTTCTTAAATTGCCAAGAATGCTTTTCGCTCTAACAAATTGGCAATGTATGAAATTCGGCGTCTTAGTATGCATACCGTTTGGGCTTCAATATTTCGTCTCATCCCATACTAATTTTTCTTACAATCTGGTAATGCGCCAATAATCTGGTAATGCGCCACAGCTTCAGCCTTGAATAATCTGTTTTTGCGTTAAATGGTCAATTGAATCTGGTTGCATCCCAGCCACCTCACCGCCGATAGATAATAATGACTGGCGTCGAAAAGAAGTCGGAGAAAGGAGCATCGTGATATGTAAAGTGACATGCATACCAGGGGAAGTAACCTGCGACCTTCTGGATATGGCATAAAGGAAGTTTTGAGTGAGACAAGAAGGGGCATGACCGCAAGGAAGGCAGGAGAGTGTGCGTGACTGTGTCGCGCGCAGTGTCTATGAAGAACCCAGACAATACAGGTGTTGTGTGTTCGTAAGACTGGTCTTTAGCCCTTTTGTCAGGCTTAGTAGCTTTCCTCACTTTGTCGAGCTCCGCGTCCCCACTGGTATTCTAAATAGGGCAGTAAACTTCAGTTGCATTAGGAAGAGGAGGAATAAACTTTATTAAATTCTAAACAGACGAAATTTTCAGGTCGTTTCCAGGTGGGTTGCTTCCTCAGTCCAGGATTCCATAGTCCCGCGCTGCCCGTTTGGCTGTGTTCACCAGTCGGGGCTGGTCCTCAGGAATTGAGCTGCTTAGGTAGTCCTTCCACTGATCTGCGGTCGGTAAGGAGTAGGGGATGCAGAAGTGTTGTGCGCGCACTTCCATACCATATGGTAGAGAGTGTTAGGCACTTGACTGTTCTTACATTTGTAGTGTAGTTAGTTGATTACATAGCGTGAAATAATGTGCCGTGCGGGAAAGTGTTTATCTGTAGCTGTCTAAGTGTGACCGCATCTTTTATGGATCAAATAAAAGCGACGAATACCCTTCTGGGCCGTATGTCCGCGTGTTGCCTGCCGTCACGTTTCGCAAAAGAAAAAAAGAAAACAAGAAGCGAGTGAGCCCTGATTAAACATCCGAGTAGCGGACTTTTATTCTTGAAGATGAAAAGTCGATGTGTACGCGTTAGCGGCCCTTGATTTCTGCCGCCGTTCTGTTTCAGACGAGAGCGGGAAAACGTTCCGTTTCCTCCCGAGTGGCGATGCACCTCCGCGCTACAGTATCCTGAACTTCCAGAGGGTGGACAACGGGACGGCACAGGGCGCCGAGGCAGTACGCCCGCGCTACGCCTGGCGCCACGTGGGCAGCTACTCTCGTAAGTTCCTGCTCTACTCCATGAGCTTCATTATCTCTCAACTTGTAAAATAGTACGAAGTGAACCTCAGCTTCGCATTCCATTCCTAGTTTGAACCACAGCTTTCTCAAATACTGGTGGGCAGGCTAATAAACAGTGAGGACTGTTTCAACTCATATGGTCCGCCACGTGTGTGTTCGAAACTCCAACGGCGTGCATTTTTTTCCACTTCTCTCTGTTTCACATTGCGGCCTCCAGGGCGCGCGCCAGTTCTCGCTGCACACTTGGACAGGCGGTAGCTCCTATCTCTTCTCCTTCACGTCTTTCCCGCTGGATGGTAGCGCCACCCTCTGTAGTTTAGGTCGATCGAAAAACGCGCTGGACGCGTATTTTGCAGAACTCGCAAACATTCGTTAAATTTATCGGAATTACATCCTGCTAAATTTAGCGGAATTACATCCTGTTAAATTTAGCGGACGGTGTTCATGCGACACTCTGACGTCATATGACGCCATGATGTCACATGACACTGTAACGTCACGTGGCATTATGAAGTCACATGGATACTTAATGCCAGCTAACTTCAGTGGATAATTTTCCCGCTAAATGTTGCGCAAACATTTCCTCAATATGTTTAACGGAATACTTGTGACGTCATGTGACGCAGAGTCACGTGACCAAGTGACCACATCACGACACTGGGATTTCTCGCTAAATTCAGTGGACCAATTTTTCCTCTACATTTGGTGGGCCACGACGTACATACATAGAACACACGCGGTTCGCCGCGAAGCTACTCCAAACAAGTCAATAGCCGCAAAATTTTAATGAGGTGAACTTGTGCCTGCCACTAGAACAAAAGGGGGCCGTCGTACTCGCGTACGTTATGAAAAATCCCAAGCGAGCGCGGACCCCGAAGACCTTCAGTGCTATCTAACGGGAGACAGCTCAGTTATCGTCGAGGCTATTGTGTGGACGAGTGCATGGCATTTCTGACGTGTCTCTCGTTCACATAATAGCCTCGATGATATAACTCAAAAGTCTTCTGTTAGATGGCACTAAATGTATTTGGAACCACGGGCTCCCTTGTGCTTTATTAAATCGTCCGAGACTGTAGATCCCGCGACGACGACTGACTGACCCTATGCAGCGAGCCCAGACTTTTTTTTAATGCGAAAGCACTAACTGGTCCCATGGAGCAAGCCGCGCCAAACGGCACCTTAAATCCTTTCTCCAAGTGAAGCCAGCTCTAGCAGTGAAGCCACGTGAAAAGCCTAGACAACGACACCTAGTTTCCCCGATCCCAAAAGAGCGGAGTAAAGCTGATGGATTTCGGCTTCGGTCCCATTGGCTGGCGCGCGTCGACGAGGCTCCCATTGGCCGCTGAGCGTCAGTTTCAATGACCGCTCACCCAATGGCACTGCGTGTCCGTTAGCGCGCCGTTAACATGGAGCGTCCAAGGTCAGCGCGCCGAGGAGGGCGCGGGAGCGCTGACCGGTGACGGAAAGTACGCAGCAGACGAAATGAGGGAGAGGACGAGCGGCTTGCATGCTTTCGCACTCACAACTCGTAAGAAGTGCTTAGGTGCACCTCGAGCCTTTTTATATATACGTATATATATATATAGGAAGCGAGAGAGAGAATATAAAATTACATTTTTTGATACCAGTCCAGATAAGAACACGACATGCCATCCAAAATTCTACTGGAACGTGCTAGAAGAGCCTCGAAAGGTAAAATTAGGACTATATTAGCAGGATTCGAGCCCATGCATGCCTCCAGGCGCATGCACTGCCAACTCGACTACGTACGCGAAATACTACTTTTACAATTATACTATGAATCAGAATATGGTGAATGGGATTTAAGCTGGAAGGTCAAGCAGTGCCTGGAATGTCTGTTCTAAACCGGCTTGCTTGCCACGCTTGCTGCGAGTTCAGTAAGCGGTGTCTAACGGTGTTCTCGCTGTGGTCCAACTCGGCGCATAAAGCAACGAACCCTTCCCCCCCCCCCGTTCTTTCCGACGCCGCAGTGGGAGACGAGGGCGAGGCCAACCTCGACCTGGACTTGAGCGCGCTGCGGTTCAAGAGCGACGAGCCCCGCTTCCCTCGGTCCTTCTGCAGTGCCCCCTGCCGCCTGGGTCAGGCCAAGCTGCAGCTTGAAGGGGACACCTGCTGCTGGCTGTGCAGCAACTGCTCACAGTTTCAGGTAAAGTGTATTGCCACGTTGCCGTGGATCGGTAGTCGAGTGTGTTTACTCACCGCTGCACGGAGACCGCGTGGAGCACATTGACTTTGCGGGGCACATCGGCTTTGCGAGGCATGCGCGTTCCCGATCGTGTGGACATTCGTGCACGGACGAGTACTATGCAACAGGACAATGTCGAGAAAGCGTATCGGTAATCTGGACTCAGAAGTGTATATCCGTCTACAAATGTAAATTAGGGTGCAGAAATATCATTTTTTGTAGATAGTATAAAGGTCGCATTTTATAGGTAGGGAAAAGACTCAGTGTGGAAGTTGTGAGCATGTAAGTAGCGTACTGGTTTGTTTATGAGAGCTGAGAGAGGTCGCTCGTTGATTTTAGGAGGGATGTGATGTTACGAAAATAAGGTTAATCGCTCGGACCGTTCACAGCTCGCGCTGGCGGCGCATTAACGTGTAGTGTACACACTAAACGAAAATATACCCAGATGGGAGTACATCGCTTGTCCTCTAGCGCATTCCCTTATGGGAGGTTTTTATACTCTGCAGCATGGGAGTTCAGAATGAACTCCCACGCAGGCCAGAGGTTTTGGGGGGGTGCAAGGGAGTATGTACAGAACTCCCAGCAGTACGGGAGTCTGTTCATGGATCAATGGGAGTATTTATTTACTTCCATCAGAGTGTTCCTATGTGGATCCAAGGGAATATTCTTTCACATCCTTATGGGAGTTTTTACGTGGACTCACGGGAATGTTCCTTTACATCCACCTGGGAGTTCTTACGTGGATCCACGGGAGTATTCTTTCACATCCAAATGGGAGTTTCTACGTGCACTTATGGGACTATTTTTTCACATCCATATGGGAGTTCTTACGTGCATTTATGGGACTATTTTTTCACATCCATATGGGAGTTTTTACGTGCACTTATGGGACTATTTTTTCACATCCATATGGGAGTTTTTACGTGCATTTATGGGACTATTTTTTTCACATCCATATGGGAGTTTTTACGTGAATTTATGGGACTATTTTTTCACATCCTTTTGGGAGTTTTTACGTGCATTTATGGGACTATTTTTTCACATCCATATGGGAGTTTTTACGTGCATTTATGGGACTATTTTTTCACATCCATATGGGAGTTTTTACGTGCACTTATGGGACTATTTTCTCACATCCACCTGGGAGTTACTGCCGGGACCTAAGGGAGTATTCTTTCACATCCATTTGGGAGTTAGTATGTGGACCCACGGGAGTCTTCTTTCACATCCTCCTAGGAGTTGTATACCTACGGGGGTATTCCTTCGCATCCATCTAGGAGTTTCCTCAAAGCCAGGAAGTGTGGAAGGAAAGTCATAAGCAGGTAGCATCATGCACGAAATAAATTTATTGCGCTATGAATATTTTTTGCACATGTCGTGTAACAAGAGCTCATTTTGCCTTGGCGCAAACTGGCTTATACCCTGTTAGACGGCCATTTAAATGGCCTTCAGAGCAAACTCCTCGAAAAATGTCTGCGAACACCAAAGGGCACAGGCAGAGCCAAGATTGTGAACTGATTCACCGATTCTTTGAAGGAATTCATTCCGAAAGCCATTTAAATGCCTAACTGACAGGGGTATTTATTACAATGTAGGGTACGCTAGGCTAACTGTGGTACACAAGCCACGATTGCTCTGTAGAAATTTATCAATTCCAGTGCCTTCACCCGTGTCTTCATGTAGCAGTCGGCAAAACCACGTTCAATGAAAGTCAGCATCTTATGTGCCTTCTTTACATAGTGGATGTGGAAAATCCAGTAGACGGCAATGAGGTACGCCACATCCTGATGGAGCCATACCATAAGTACAAAGTTCTTCCTTAATCAGTCCTAAAATATTGAAAAAAATTACCTCAAACTGGACAGAATTCGATAAAACATAATATGAGAGTCACAGATTTTTCACCTCAGCTTATTTATGTTAAACACTCTGACTGCTCCCTCTTAGACGTCGCAGCTTGCTCGTTATATGTAGTAGCGGCAGATGCAATTACTCTTCCTGCAATCAGTCCGCTGTTGGCCATTCTCTTTCCTGCGTAGTGCTGGAAGGGACCTGTAACCAAAAAAGCACAAGCATTTAAGTTAAAATGTACTCACAATCAACACAACAGATGTTTCCGATGTTATCGTATGAACCTTGCAAACCAGGTGGAGAGTGGACTTCTCTCAAAAAGTGAATTGAAGACAGTTTCTTCAAAGCAATATCAATACTACTGATATTGAAAATATGGTAAAAGGGCAGAATGGTTTTAAAGTGATATAGCAACGAAATTGTAGTGCCTATTTTATTGTCTAAATGTCAACCATGTTTTTCCATACAGTGGAGACACCAATTTTTTGCTCAAAAAGACACAAAACATTTAAAACTAGTGTCTCAGAAGATCTCCCGATATGCATCACGTTCGTGACGTCTGGTTCTCCTTCAGTCAAGGCTATACACCAACTCATGTTTACAAACAAACCGGAGCGCCCCTAGCGGACGTCACCGGCGCCGCGCATGCGCCGTGGATGGTGGGCAAGAAGTCCGCCGTCGCCCATAAACAGACCATTGAATTGCGTTGTTGTCGGCGTCGGTGGGAGTCCCCGTGCTCTTTTTCGCGTTGGAATTGTTGATTCTACGTCCTCCTAACAATGTCTGACTACTTGAGCGGCTTCAGCAAAACTATCGAGGCAAAACTTTGCGTGGATAATGTGACGTGCGGCGATTTATTTCACGTGGACGCCGCAGAATGGGCGCTAAAGCCTGACTCCCACGTCGAGATTCTGCTCGCTATTTTCAGTCGCGACGTCGCTCGGACTGCAAAAACGTGGACCGTAGCTGAGATGGTGGACATCGATACTGAAAACCTCAAGTAGAATCGGGCAATACAAGTCGGTGATGGCCACTGGTAACAATGATCAACAACTTCTTGTATCTGTTTACACTTAGCCGACTTACCCCAACCAACCTTCAAAAATGTTTTGAGGCCTGCACTTAGTTCTTATCGCAATTACCGGGCCAACGTTTGGCAATTACCGGGTCAACGTTTGGTCGTTTGAACGAACTAACGACAAAAAGCAGCCAAGTTTGAAAGAGCAGACGACAGTTCGAACGCACGCGCAATGGAGTACGGGCAAGAAGCACCGCGTCCCGCGTCAACAAACCATTCGAATGTCACGTTGTCGGTGTCTGTGTGAGTCTGCATACTCTTTTTCGCGTTGGAGTTGTCGATTCTACGTCCTCATCGCAATGTCTTACCACTTCAATCGCCTGAGCGAAATTATCGAGGCTCGTTACGCCGCTAAACTTTCCGTAAGTAATTTGACGTGCAGCGATTCATTCGCATGAACGCTGCAGAATGGACGCCAAAACCATGATGAGATTCTTATAGCTATTTTCGGTCGCGACGCCGCTTGTGCTGCAAAAGTGTAAAAGGTAGCGGCGATGATCGACATCGATACTGAAAATCGGAAGCGGGAACAGACAAAGCGTAACAAGTAGGTGATGGCCACCGGTACCAATAATTAACATGTATCTACTGTTTACACCGAGCCTACTTAAGTCTTTTGAGGCCTGCAATTACTTCTTATTGCAATCACCGGGTCAAACTTTGGTCTACGGGCCGCTTTTGTTTGAACGAGCAGACGACAAAAAGCAGACAACTTTGAAAGAGCAGACGAAAGTTCGAACGATCAGGCGGCCGTGTGAATTTGAAGATGCACTGAATCCGTGGGTGGTCCGGACAACTTGGGGGTTTTCTCTCGGTCATGTTGGAACAAAGCAAACACATCTGGCGACTACAAATTGTGGCCCGCACACGCAATCGTAGTTCGACAGCGTCAGGTTTGCCCTTTTCACGGCTGCTATCGACGTTCTCGGACGAACGGAGGGTGCAAAAACACATGAAAACTGATCTTCAAACCTTCCCAGACTCTCTTGGTAAAGCCCCCATCGCAGCATTTTGACGAAAAGGCAGGTTTTTTGTCTCGTTTCTTCCAAAGGAACACAGGAATGCATGTCTGGCACGGCGACTTCTGCCCACCGCCCGAGACCGGAAGTGCGTCCGGCGCGCCACCACCGCGGCGTGACGTAGGAGAGTTGAGTTGGTGTATATGGGGGCTGGCGTGGCTGTGAGCTTCGCCACTTGATGACGTCAATGCACTACAAGCTGGTCGTTCGAGTTGTCCCTCCTCGCTCTCCGCAGGAGTTGAATAGGCACGGGAGAAAAAAGAAAACCGGTTCAGCCAAGTTAGACAGGGCTCAGGCGCACACAGCCTGCCACCATGTTCCCGTGTAGTGGTGCTGCTTCTATGTGGTGTGACGTGACAGTATTTGGTTTATTTAAATAATGTTTCGGCGTCTTTTTTAGCAAAAAAAAAAAATCGGTGTCTCCATGGTGTGGGCAGAACATGGTTAACATTTAGACAATACAATTAGTGCTAAAATTTTGTTGTAATAACCTTTAAAAAAAAAAAAGAAAGAACAAGGTACACCCTTATTTTCAACAGTTCACATCAAACATGTTTATAACTATCTACCTTTCTGTGCTAGTTTCCTTTTCCATCGTTTCATAGTCTCAGTAACTTTAAGGGTGAGTGACAGTCCTGCAAAAATGTCATCAAGCATGTAAAAATTTTCAAAGCCGGAAAAATTGACAGCTTATTGCAAGCTTTTAAAAAGTCATACCAAACAAAACGACCTATTGCAAAAACTGTAGGATACCTGTCTTGCTGCATGTAAGCTTAAGAAATTGAAATTAGTATACATTTCTAGCGATTTACTCCAACAAACTATAATTTTCTTCACTCTCGCACAATCACTAGGCAGAAGAAGCAAAAGCCCTCCCATTATCATAATTGTGTGCACTGCAAACATGCAAGAGTTATCAACTTTTTGAGAAACGACTATAAGGGATAGCTCACATATACGGCACAGAGCTAAATCAACAGTAAAACAGTGCTGACTTGAACTTAACTTAGTAC